CTGCAGCTGGGGTGGGGGTGAATCCTGGAGGCTTCATCTGTTCCCAGCAAATTCCACTAGCTCAGTTGGTGGGATCTCAAGGCATTACCTGGTGTGGCCATATAGTCACTCCGATTTGTCCTGGGTTAGCCCGGCGGCTCCCCTACCCAAAGGCACAGGTAACATACCAGGTTTTCACCCTGGGGTAAACCCAACATACAGGCAGAGGATCTGGGGGCAACAAGAAGCACATATTTGCCTTTCACCCGAGCAATTCCTGCATAGGGGGCCTAAGTCACACCCATCTACTTCCGGCTCATGGGGCCCCAGAAGAAGGAAAAAATGAATGCAAGTCAATGGGACTAAAAAGGCTATTTTCTAATTCTGCTTGTTTTGTGCCATGGATATGATGTCCGTGAAATTTAAAGACGCATTTTAAACCCAAGAAAGTGCTTATTTTCGAATGGGGGGAAACATTATTTGAAGTTTTTTTGTAAAAATGCATCCAGGACTACAAATGCGCTTCACGACAGTGACGTCATCAAACCAGACACGGAGAAAAACAGAGGAAAATGGCTGTAAGTTCAGCGAACTTCAAATCCTTCCTTCAGGAGGAAATAACACCATAAATCTGGTCATGTGGTATGTAGCAGCTACCCTAGAAGACAGGATATTAAGTGAATGTCATTTTCTGGTTTGTAGTCATGCTAATTACAAACTTTTACAAGCTGATAAATCTCAAAGTACGTGACTGGCGTGGTCACAACACCCATCATTAGTTTTCGTTTAGACTGCAGTACAACACATGTGTGATCCAGGGTCTAAGGCAAAGCGGAGTAGAAAATAGCTTTTTTGCGCCGTTGACTTGCATTCATTTTTTCGATCTTCCGGAGACCCATGAGCCGACGGGAAACGGAGGAGCCTTAGCTCCGTATAGCAGAGATTAAGATCCTTCTCAAGGATTTGGGTTCCAGAGCCAGGTAGCAGAAGCGGAGCTTTGTCAGTAGTGGGAGGGGCTTCCCCCTGAACTGAATTGTTTTTGCATCTTTTATTTTTTGTATTGGCAAATTACGTACCAAACCACTCAATGGGTTATAGTAAAATACTCAGCCCACTATTGTGGGAAATCCAGTTCTCCTGGAGAATCAGTCTCTCTCACCCATGGTGCTGAAAGATGGACAGAACAACAGTGGCAGCGACAGACAGCCACAGCCATTATTAAGATCAGCTGTCAGGGGGGGAAAATGGGAAAATAACCAAATGTGCTGATCTGCCAGCTCTGGTAACCCCCACCCCCTCTCGATGCCATAACACTTTTAACCCTCCCACTGTCCTAATGGGTGACCCCGCGAGGAAACTTGACAACTGAGCAGGGTTGATGGTTTATCGCTTGAGGTCCATGTGGCAGCGGTGAGGTGGTGCTCACTCCTCACCGCTGCCACATGGACCCAAGGGATAAACCATCAACCCTGCTAAATGGTCAACTTTCCTAGCGGGGTCACACCCATTAGGACAGTGGGAGGGTTAAAGCCAAAGAAAAAGAAAAGCCTGAAAGTCTAAAGAAGTTGACACAACAGATCCTGGGTAAGTACAAAAACACAGCTTTGACGATAACACGTTGTTTGAAATTGTAATTTTGGTCTAAAAACGACAAGCCCTATAGTACATGATGCTACGTTACTGGAACAAACACAATAGACATCATAGCTGCATGGTGGCACAGTGGTTAGCACTGTTGCCTCGCAGCACGAAGGTTGCAGGTTCGAAACTCGGCTGCAGCCTTTCTGCATGGAGTTGCGTGTTCTCCCCATGCATGCGTGGGCTTCCTCCGGGTACTCCGGTTTCCCCCACAGATCACAACATGCCCTATAGGTTATAAATTGTAAGTTGCTTTGGATAAAAGCGTCTGCCAAATAAATAAAAATAAACATATTTCTCCACATTAGATGAGCTTAGAATAAAACTGTACCATGAAAGGTGGTAGGCTGAGTGTGCTCCATGGTTTTCATTCTATGTGTGTGTGTGTGTGTGTGTGTGTGTGTGTGTGTGTGTGTGTGTGTGTGTGTGTGTGTGTATTGGATGGTGCCTGATGGGTATCTGCATATTGGTATTTCCCAAATGAACATGAACAGACTAAAGGGCTGCCAAGTACTAAATGTCTTTCACAAACATGAGGACAGTGGACAACATGACATGCATATGAAATTAATTCATCTGACGGAACTGGAAGACACACAGTGGACACAACCCATTATCTTAAAACCAGTCTGGAATGTCATGTTTCCTGTTTATCAAGCGGAATACCATCCACACTCCAGCTTTGTGGCATCATGCATTTAGCCATTGATAGCAAAAGAAAAATGTTTTGCTGACTGAGAGTTTTATAAAGTTTTAAACTAATGCTTTCAAACTGATTTCAGTGGTTCTTGAGCCATAAATGTGAGCAACTTCATATTGGACAGCACTATGTCGCCCTCTGACCAGAAATCACAGTTTTGTGTTTCAGGTAAATAGGCCTGCACTAGTGGGAGGTCTCTAGGAATGGGTACCTTTGACATTTGAATCGATTCGGTACTAATTCCCAGTACCTAGGAATCGATACCGGTACTTAACTGTACCAATTTTCGACACTTTTGAGTGTTTAATATTTTGATTCTCTTTTATAATTAGATATATATTTTTCTCAATTTATAACCATATTTGACAAATATCATGATAAATAACATACAACTGTTTGTATTTTAACATTGTCCTTGTAGTTTTATAAGCTAATAATTAAACTGAAGCAAACATCTTTACTGTGAACTAAATTTACTGTGTATCTTCATTCCTTTTACCGTCCTTTTTCATTTGATTTTTCCTACTGGGAAGTTAGAATTTCCGAGGAGAAAGCGAACGCACCATTAGCTGATAACAATGGTGGCAATGGAAGCTAATTTATCAAGCTAATGTTATCTTAAACTGTTTATTTAGCTGCTGGAGCAGATTAAAACGATGATGCCTCACACTTAGATCGTTGTCGCTGGTTTCATCTTCACCCAATCACCCGTCGCATTTAGTAAAGTGAAGCCAAACTTTAGAGTGCGTTCATGTTCTTCTAGTTGGAAATTCGGAGTTCCGAGGAGAAAGCAAACGCACCATTAGCGAAACGGAAGCTAACATATCAAGCTAACGTTATCTTAAACATTTTATTTACCTACCGAAGCAGATTAAGATGAGGATGTCTCACTTAGATCGTTGTCGCTGGTTTCATCATAACGCTCTTGCGCATGTGCAGCTGTCTAGGCAAGTTCTCGTTATGAAGGACGGGTACCTAAACAAGGCACCGTTTCAAATGACGTGAATTGGTGCTCAGTCGGTACTATGGAATTTGGTCGGTACCTTAAAAAGCACCGAATTCGGTACCCATCACTAGAGGTCTCTATCTGCTTCATTGTGATAGCTGTTTACTGTACTGTAGCTCATATAAAGCCTAGCAGTTAGCTTTTTAGTTTGCCAACCATCAATGAAAAGTACAAGAAGAAGAAGAATTTCACTTTTTTGTTGGCATCATGGCTGAACCCGAAATTAAAAGTAAGAGAGTAAAGAAGTTAAGCAAAAGCCAGAGTGAACATCGGCATAGCCTACACTTGTTTGAGGGAGCTGAAGAAGGCTCCAAAATCACGGACTGACGGTGACCTGGCTTTGTTGCTACTGAACTTCTAAGCCCTGCAGAAAACCAGCATAGACCAGCACGGCATGCTCCCAGCATATATTGTGTTTTGGTGCTGGTTTTCTGGTCCAGCATGGGGTGCTGGTGATCTTGGACAGCTAAACCAGCACCAAAACATTTGAGGCTTATTGAGGATCAACTGGCTCCTAGTATTATCTTGTTGTTAGCGCTAGCTACAGCTGACTTATTTGCAACTGTCATAATTCCACTCACTAGGAGAAAGAAGCGGGTACATTTTTCAAGTGTTGCTTTAACTTGATTCTTGGAGCTCTGTGAACCATAATGCATTCTGCTGCAACAGATAAACAATAATAACCAAACAAAACCACCAATTCATGTCTGCCTGGAAACAAAGCATGGCTACAGTGAGAGTGCCATCCTCCTGCATCAGTAGCCAGTGTGATGTTCTCCATCACACATTTAATGTGACACCACATATAAAAACTCATTATCTAACTCTGACCACGGCTCCAGAGCCTGCACACCATTCTTGTTGAGAGAGTGTGTGTGTGTGTGTGTGTGTGTGTGTGTGTGTGTGTGTGTGTGTGTGTGTGTGTGTGTGTGTGTGTGTGTGTGTGTGTGTGTGTTTCACCAACTGCGCTTGGATTAATAGCAATATTGCAATACAAATTGTATCAGGAAATTGGTCAACAGGCCTGCTTCCTGTCGAGCCAACAGAAATTAGATGATGCCATGTATGAATATTTTGAGATCAATAGACCCCCACATGCCCAGGGGCTAAACCCGTATAAAGTCTAAGCCAGGCAGGGGTGGGGGATTGATCGAATGGAGCCGACATTGGATTAGAGGCCACTTTTGTTCTTTAAAGTGAAGAGTTGTTGGGAAACGCCTTTACCCATGACACCATCTCACATGTGAGAACAATAGTCTAGTTCTTCTGCAGCTGCCTGAGACATCACCTGCTGCTGTTGGACCCACACAAAACCCTGCAAACTGCTTGGAAATGGTTTGCTTTGAACTCAGAATATCAAAAGTCCAGGAAATAGAATATGGCAGCAAAACATGTTAGATCCGAGAACTGTTTCTCTTTTTGCACCAATAAAAAATATGGCCCGGTTAGAGACTTCCTCAGCAGCAGCTGGCTTAAGGAGACGCAGTGAATGAAGCTGACAGCAGGTCGAGGCTGCTGCTTTAGAGTATTTGGGTTATTATGACTCTATGTGTTCCATTTGGGGAATTGGTACATGCCTGCAGGTCTTCCAGGTAATGAGTAGGATGTTATTTGCATGACAACTGAAACGTGCCAACTATTATAGGTTGGTTTGAGTGAGGTGAGCTGATGACCTACCTTGATCAGACTGCTGCGTCGCGGGATTGCTGTACGAGCCGATTCCGAGCCTGTGTTCTCCCACGTCGGGGACTCACAGCTAGTCTCGTTCTGGACCTTCCCGGCGGTGTCTGGCGTGCTGCAGCTTCCGTTTGACACGGTGTCTCCTCGGTGCGTCTCCACACAGCTCGTCCTCCCGGCTGCTCCCCCGCACGCAGCTTTCCAGCCAGCAACCGGTGGGCCCGCGTCGCTCTTCGTCGCCCCAAATTCAGCCATGGAGACACTCAGGGATTCTACCGGCTCTCATGAACGCTCAGCGGAGTTCCCGCAGCAGCGACGGTGTCGCGGTACACGGACGCAGGCGTGCCATCGTGCGGAGTGAACGATCTGTGACCGTGCGCCAACAGCAGCAGCACAGGAAACTTATCCCCTCTCTCTCTTGTCTCTCTCTCACACACACACACACACACACACACACACACACACACACACACACACACACACACACACACACACACACACACACACACACACACACACACACACACACAGGCTGAAATGGGGAGGGAGACAGCGGGGGGAGGAGAGACGACAGCTGGGCGACAGAAATGACCGACACACCTTCAGCTCCACAGCTGGATGTGCGCCTGCGTTCAGGAAGTGCAACGCTCCTTAAACCTCCTTCACTGGTAGCTGTGGAGGGACAAGTAACTTCACACACACACACACACACACACACACACGCACACACACACACACACACACACACACACATTCTGCTACCAGACCATTCAAGCACAGAGTGTGGCAGGAAGCTATGAGGTCATCATCTGTGAGCAGCCTATGATGACGACAGGTTTTCAATTCTTTCAGAATAAGAGAAAAACTTTATTATCCAGACAAAAATAAATACGCTCTTTATTTGCTTGCTTGTTTGATTGGTTTTTAACAGGACCTATTCATTCCCAGCAGTCTGGATATATGTGAAAAATCTGACCTCTAAGCCTGACCGGCGCAGTTGGTACTTTCCTGTTGGTGAGAAGGTTGCAGGTTTGAATTCCAGCTGAAGGTTTTTCTGTGTGGAGTTAGCATGTGTGAGGACTTTACTCGTTTTCTCCCATAAACCAATGAAATGTCAGGTTGATCATCCATCCATTTTCGGCCACTTATCTGGGGTCGGGTCGTGAGGGCAGCAGCCTAAGCAGGGAGGCTCAGACTCCCCTAACCCAAGCCACTTGGGCCAGCTCCTCCGGGGGAATCCTAAGATGTTCCCTGGCCATGCGAGAGAAATTTCCCCTCCAGTGTGTCCTGGGTCTTCCTTTAGGCCTTCACCCAGTTGGACATGCCCAGAAAACCTCACCAGGGAGGCCTCCAGGAGGCATCTAAATGTCCGAGCCACCTCATCTGGCTCCTCCTGGATGCCTGAGCTTCTCACCCTATCTCTAAGGAGGAGCCCAGCCACCCTGCGGAGAAAACTAATTTTGGCCGCTTGTATCTGCAATTTCGTTCTTTCTGTCACTACCCAAAGCTCATGACCATAGGTGAAGGTACAGGTAGGAATCAAATCAAATTAAAATCAGGATTATATTGTTATTCTGTTCATATCAGAGTACAAACACAATGAAAAGTTTCTCCATTGAGATCCATCCGAGTCACATGTACAATACATACTCAACTCTGCTAAATTTAAAAACAATGACTAAAATGGCATTAAAAACTATAATAAATAAGTTAAAAGCTCTTGGTAAATTAAACTCACACACACACATACGCATGCACACACACAGACACTCACACCCCTCCATATGCATGCAATTAACACATATCTTAGTGGGATTTTTAAAGTGCTAGTATCCCTTGCTACCACCGAACAGCCTGAGGCAGAAAGCTGTTCTGCAGCCTCGTGGTGGAGCATCTTATGCTATGATAATGCTTCTGGGAGGGTAGAAGCTGAAAGAAACAGTTCAGGGGATGTGCGAGGTCCTTCACAATGTTCAGGGCTCTGTTTCTGCAGCGGCTCAGGAACAGATCCTGGAGAGAGGGAAGGGAGATTCCTATAAGCCTGTCCGCTGATCTCTCCACTCTCTGGAGGGCCCTTTTATCCACCATCCAACAACTGGAGAACCAACTTGAGATTGCATAGGTCAGCATGCGCTCCACAGCCTCCCTGTAGATGGAGATTAGGATGGTGGTGTGAAGTGAGGCCTGTTTAAGCTTCCTTAGAAAGTACAGTCTCTGATGAGCTCGCTTTACTAGACCTGAGGTGTTCTTTGCCTAACCGAGGTTGTCAGAGATCTGTACGCCCAGGAACTTGATGTTCTTCGCTCTTTTCAATTCACTTTCGTTTATGCAGAGGGGAGTGTGCTTTGTTTGGGATTTTCAAAAGTCAACAATCATTTCCTTGGTCGTGTCCATGTTGAGTGGCAGATTATTTGTTCTGCATCAGCTCTCAAACAGCTTGACCTCATCTCTGCAACCGGATTCATCATTCCTGTGAATCAGACCCACAACTGTGGTGTCATCAGCAAATTCAGCAGACAGATTGTTCTTATGTCTTGGCACACAGTCATGGGTCAACAGAGTATATAGCAGTGGGCTGAGCATGCATCCCTGGGGGTCACCCGAGCTCAGCGTGATGGATTTGGAGGTCTTTTTCCTAACACGAACTGTCTGTAGTCTCTCAATCAGAAAATCCAGTATCCAGTGACAGAGGGTGGAGTTAAAGTACAGGAAGAGAAGTGTTTTCCAATTTCTGTGGTTTGATGGTATTAAAAGCAGAACTAAAATCAACATACAAGATCCTAGCATAGGAGTTCCTCTGCTCCAGGTGGGTGAGTACTGTACGCAAGGTGAGGGATATAGCATCCTCTGTGGAACGGTTTGAGCGGTAGGCAAGCTGATGTGGAACATAGATCAACTGGTAAATCGAGAGCTTTGCCTTCCAGTTCAGCTCTCTCCTCACCATGACAGATCAGTACAACGCCCACATCACTACAGACACAGCACCAGTCCACCTGTTGATCTCGTGCTCCATCTTTCTCTCTTGTGAACAAGACCCTAAGATACTTAACCTCCTCCCTCATCCCTGACCCGGAGAAGGCATTCTACTCTTTTCCGACTCACGACCATGGTCTCAGATTTTGAGGAGCTGCTTCACACTCGTCTGCGAACCACTCCAGTGAGAGCCAAAGATCACAGTCAACAGGACCAACATCATCTGCAAAGAGCAGAGACTCAATCCTTAGGCCACCAAAACAGACCCCCTCAAACACTTTGGCTGCACCTAGAAATCCTGTCCATAAAAGTTATGAACAGAATTGGTGACAAAGGGCAGACTTGGTGGAGTCCACATGCCACATGAGTCCGACTTATTGCTGGCAATGCAGACCAATGCCATGAGCCGGGGTGAGTACTCCTTTCATTTTCCACCTCTGAGCTGTGTGTTGCAGGAGAGGGAGGTTTCCAGCTGCATCTCGTTGGCAATCAGCGGGTCCGGCTACATAAGGAAGGAGAACACACCTCGACGCCGGATGATTGCTACAGCTTGGTAGTTTCTAGCCTCCTAGTGATTCTTGGTTTTTTGTGCTCTCGTGTCTCTTGGATTATTGTGAACTTTGGATTTTGTGATCACCCGTCTCCAGGTTTTTGGAACGTCCCTGATTCTGCGACTCCTCAGGATTACTCACCCATGCTGAGTCAGCGACTTCTCAGGATTACTCACCCATGCTTCGTAGGATTTCTGGACGCAGCTCTCCACCGTTCTCCATTCCTCCTTACCGACCCGCTCACCTGCCCTACTCACACTCCCTCTCCTGGACCCCTCTCTTGGATACACCCCGGCTCTCAACCTGCCCTCCCTCATCCTGGGACTTCCCCATCTCCCAGTAAGTCTTTTCTCTGCACCCACCAAGTTAAGACTTACCTCCCTGGACTCACCTGTATCTGCTCTCCCTTCCTCAGACACTGCGCTCCCGTTTCTCAATCCCCACTGGACTTACCAGTGCACCTTCAGTTCTCGTTATAAAATATATATTTTTTTACCTTCAGTAGTTGTTGTTCTGCATGTCTTGGGTTAGACGCATTCCCCAGATCATGACAACCAAGCTCTGACACCGGTCATACAGGGACTAACAGCCCGTATCAGAGGGTCTGGTACCCCATACTCCCTAAGTACCCCCCCGCAAGGTCTCCTGAGGGACGCGGTTCAAAGCCTTCTCCAAATCCACAAAACACATGTAGATTGGTCAGGTTGATCAAAGACTCTAAATTATCCCTAGGTGTGTTTGACTGTGGTTGTTTGTCTCTGTGTCTGGAGACCTGTTCAGGGTGTGTCCCCTGCATCTCATCCAGTAAACACAATAGATGGGCTTGACGTCACACACACAGAGAGGAAAAAGTCCTGACCACCCATAAATGTAAAAACTTCTGTGATATGTTTCCCAGCACAGGCCGTACTTCCAACACACACCTAATAAGTTTAAAGTGACAGTGTGCATTTATCCTGGTGATGGGGGGGGGGGGGGGGGGGGTAGTAAATACCTAAATCATTGCAAGCAAGCAAGCAGTATTTTTGTGTTGGAGTAAGACCTTACCAACCCATTAGGGTCAAAAAGCCCTGGAGGGTGCAACATTTAGCAAAATAACGAGCACGTCATACTTCCTTTCATCAGTGGCAACAAGTGAAGAGGTAAATGTGTAAAACAACAACATTTAGGAATGTCGAACGTTTTGTAACCATTACAAATCAGCAAATGCATTTTGTCCTCATGGGCTCCTGTAGAAGCAAACATGGTATCTAATATGGCATCGCCCAGAGACTTAGACCCAATCTCAATACTCCTACTACCCCCTTCAATAGCACAATCCCGACCAGGGGTGCAAGTGGGAAGGATGTCCCGATTCTCAAATGCGGATGTTGATCACGCCCCTTTTGCACGTTTGATCCACACTTCACCCAAGTCCGCAGCGATGCAGACATGGATGAAGGGTATTACCCACAAGTCATTGCTGTGGGAGAAAAGGCTCAAGTTCCTTTTCTGAAAATATGTATTTTCTGATTAAATTAGTTCATTTTAGGATGATTAGTTGATGCTCTGAAACATTTAGACAATGCAGCAATAAATTTAAATTTTGTTCAAATAACTGTTTGGTTGTTTGTTTGACAGTTGTTAATAAAGGTTTTTAAAATAAGTATCACAGCGGCCAGCATCCCGGCATGCGTTGCGATCGATGACGCAATGCTCCCCATCTCAATTTAGCTATTATTTACACACTTGTGTACTACGCAGTGAAAGCCTTACAGCACACTTTCTCCAAGTGCACTTTGCTGAAGTCCACAGGGCACAGTGGGAGTATTGAGATTGGGCCTTAGACCCGCTCCCATGTATTTTAGACCTGATTTTTATGGTTAGATGTTATGAAGCCACCAACATTTTTCAACAACTGGG